TTTACTATTGGCTATTGCAAATTGAAATAGCCAATAGTAATGTAGCAATGTATTTAAATGGGAAAAAATGTTTGTTTGTTTTTTTTCTATTCTGACATCGCTCCGTGTCAGAATAAAGAAAAAAAAGAAAAAGCAGTGTTTCTCTCCTTGGCGGCCGGGAGATCACGGCTGGCTCCGCCCAGCTTTCAGAAGCAGGCTGTCGACCGGCCAATGGCTGGCCGCTCGGCCAGCTTCAGCTTACTGGGGCGGAAGTTAGCCGAAGGATCGGCCGAAGCTACGGCTAGATCCTTCGGCAGCTTCGTGAATAGACCCCTTAGTTATATGCTGCCATCTAGTGACCCTTTGTGATAATGCACTTGTTTTTCATATTCCTTTTGCTGAGATCGATGATACATTTCCCTTTTGTATATGTTCCACCCTTCCTCCTCGTCAGTACTTCCTGTGTCATGGATGCAGCTACAGGCCACATGTAACAAGGGACACATGTATTCCACATAGTACGCTACGAAAGCATCATCTTTTGACCGCATAATACTGAAACCATTCATTCATCTGTTGTTTCCTGTCATCTGCTGTAACCTGATGTTCACAATAAAGCAACCCTTGTGGATGAAACAGTATTGGTGAGTTCAGCTATCTGACAATGATTGTCCTCAGTGATTGAATCTGCTTATACAGGCCAGGCATTGAGGTCTCAGCAAGGGATAAGTCACTAGCACAACAATCGGAGTCAGAATATACACCACAATATGGTGCACGTGTATGTTATGTGTATCAGGGAGGGGAGGTTTGTGCTTTTTAAAAAAAAATTATTTACACATTTTTTATTTTTTTATTATTATTTTACTGTTGGGGGGGGGGGGGAGTTCATTCATAACTGGGGACACATAGTACTATGTGTCCCCAGTTATTTACAAACACCGGAGTGATCAGACAATTGCTCCAGAGTATGTGCTTCACACCGAGGATCGGTAAATATCAATGATACTTACCGATCCCATGCTCGGCCACGCACACAGCCGCTGTCATCCTGAAACTGACAGGAGGACAGCGGCTCCGCTCTCCTCCCTGCCTGCCGCTCGACCTCTCCCCTCCATTTTTTTCTGGATCCGGGCCTCCCCCAGTGCCGCGGGCCCCATAGTGACCGCATTGGTCGCTATGGTGGTAGTTCCGCCACTAGTTAGAACCTTTTATTTGATTGCTAACTGTGGAGATTTCCCCCGCTTAATACAAACTCCCATGAGAATGAGACAGAAAAAAAAAATCAGATGTTCTCTCATATTTTATCCAAAACTAAAAAAAATCTGCTAACTCTATTGCAAAAGATGTTTTTATTATCATTTGTCACTGAAAAAATCTACTGTTTTGGCTGCCACTGAGGCAGGAAATGAGGGGAAATCATATACAGTAAACTCCCAGTTATCCGGCATCCACTGGGATTGGCAGATTCCGGATAAATGTAGTTTCTGGTTGCGTTGAGAGTTACTATTAAAAATAGGTCGAACTAATGCCATATGCTATACCATATCATAACATAAACTCTGTATTGACTTCATATTAATATTGAAATGCAGTAATCAAAAGCAAATTAAGTCAAATAGACACACAATCATTTCCAGGATAATACATGCCGCAGATCAGCAGAACAGTGAAAACACAGGATTTTTTATTCTGATTAAATGAGAGTTCTGGTTAGTTAAATACCGGATAACAGAGCGTTTACTGTATATGCAATATATATATATATATAAACATGTTTGTAGCATCCAGGGAATCTGGGAATCCAGATGGTGGGCACCAGAAGGCTGTATCCTTTACTGGTCGGGGCCTGCTTTGTATTTAAGTACACATAAGTCTAGGAACTGTATACTTCACGGGTTAATTTGAAAATTCCAAGCTTTCTTCATGCAATGGATTATGAAGAGGAGCTTGTTAAAGCTTTAAAAATAACCTGCATGAGGGTTTTTTTTAATAAAGACTGGTAAGCAGTTTGGTATTTTAAAAACAAATTTTACATTAACATCACAAACAATATCATAATGCAAGTTTTGCTTATAATAAAAAAAAAATGGTTTCTAGTACTTTTAATTTTTTAGTGCTTCTCATCTGACGCTTGTTGGTATGACCTCTGTATCATCCAGTCTCTGCTCTGTGGAAACCAGTCTCTGACGAAGCAGACGGGTCTTACATACCAAGGATAATACATCTCTGACACACGGCTGGTCCCAGCTGACACCACTGCTAAGGCTGCATCTTGGGCAGGGTAAGCAGGCATAGCGATCTTATCTCTAGAGATTAAAAAAGACAAGAACATGTAAATGGTCTACCTTTCTGTGCCCCGACAGCTTCAGATAACCTCCTCTTTAGTTTCCCTTTTCCCAGCTCAAACATATAACAAACCAATACCTGGGAACACCTTCCTTTATTCTAAAACAGATGCCTTAAAATGCTAAAGAACACAGGGCTGATTTGAAAAAAAATGCAGCAAGGGCATTGTGATGGACGTTTGAGAAAGCTTATTTTGTGGTTCTTCTTTTCTACGTCTTTTTAAAGCAGCTCTGTCTAGCTAGATGCTAAGATGCTAGCAAAAATCTGAGTGCAGAAAGTAAATATCCAAAACTGAACTATAAGGATGATGGCACCACTATTCTCTATGGCAGGTGTATCCAAATTTGGCCCTCCAACTGTGATGAAACAATAAAACCCATTAAGCATCATCCTTTGAGAGTCATGCCTGTGGCTGCCAGTCTTGTAATGCGTTATGGGACTATAGTTCCACAACAGCTGGAGAGCTGAAGTTTGGCTACCCCTGGTCTATGCCATGATCCTACCGCTCTACCAGAGCCAATGGAGTAGTACACTGTAAATTGGGAAGGAAAGTTGTACAGAACAAGACAGCAGTACTAGAAACTGATGTGCGTATTTGGGTAGTTTGGAAATGAGGACACAGTGACACTCTCTGGGATGATGCCTTAGAGCTAACCTCGTCAGTTTTCATCAAGCTTCAGCTCATTGCAGGCAGGGAAGCTCATCTGTGGCAGAAAATGAAATGTCTGATCACCATGGTGGTCTGAATGCGGTAATTATTACTATTTTGTCCAACTCATAAAAATGTTTAACTGCTTGCATACCAACCCGCAAATACCCCCTTCATTACCAGGCCATTTACTGTATCAGTGCTGTAATAGTTTGACTGACAATTACTCAGACATGCACTGTACATGCACTTTACTGAATGTAAAATTCATTTTATACCATTTATATGGAAGGTAGCCGAGTGAATAAAGGAGCAGAAGTGAAGTGAGCCGAACGCTGTTCGGCTATTCACTTCAGCCTTGTACGGCTGATTTCAGCCGTACATCTACTAAAATCAGCCGTACATCGGTTGCCTTCGGTCAGCCGAACATGCTCTGTATGTTCGGCTGAGCCGAAGTGCAGAAGGAGTTCGACTCAGCCGATCCATCATCTAGATCGGCTGAGCCGAAGCTCCGGCAGCTCACTCGCTGCCGTTCGCCTCTATTCTCATAGGGGCCAAACGGCGGTGAGTGAATAGCCGAATGTTGCCGAGCAGGATTTGGCTCGGCAGAATAGAAAAAAACATAAATGAAAAAAAGAAATGTTGAAAAATGATTTTAAAAAAGTTAAAAAAATATGAAAATGTAAATCTAATTAAGAAAATAATACAAATATTTTAAAGAAAAAATTAAATAAATAAATAATATTTTTTTTAAAACACAATGCACACAGAATAATGTTGAATCTTACAGATGCCGGCAAATTATAAACAATTGGGCGGAGCTAGCAGTGGCATCACCTCCAGCTCCGTCCAACTGTATTCTATTGGCCGGCACCTGCCCGAGTCTTCTAGCTGGTCCCGGGCAAAAAATAACAACTGGGCGGAGCCGGCCATGACGTCACGGCCAGCTCCGCCCAGTTGTTATTGTTTAATGAGAGATCAGCTTCCCCAGGTCATGTGGGGACGCTGATGTGTCATTACAATTGAGCGCAGCGAGCCGTGAGATCACAGCTGGCTCTGCCTAGCTGTCATTTGCGTGAAGAACGGTCGGCCCCTCGGCCGACCTTTCTTCACGCTTCGGGTGTCACTACGGCTCAGCCGAGCTGAAGCATATGGGTTCGGCTCGGCTGCATTTAGCTGCTGTACAGGCTATAGCAAATAGCCCGTACAGCAGCTCTTCGGTTAAACGGGCTCCGGCGGCCGAAGTGAGCCGAAGGATCAGCCGAAGCTACGGCTGTGTCCTTTGGCTTTATAGTGAATAAAGCTTTCTTTTGGTGGTATTTAACTAGTTTGCTACCAGAGTAATTTTTTTGCACACATGTTAAAATCTGCATATTTGGCTAGAAAATTACACAGAGGCCCTGTAGAATAGAAATTTGAACAACTGTTTATAAAATCTAAATTTACAGTACAAAATACACTAAAATAGATTTTGAGTACACACAAACACAATGTAACCCCAATTTCTGTGTAAACAATGCAAAGGTGACTTTGTTTCTAGTAAACAGAGACCAAACATGTATGCCTCAAAACTGCATGTGCCAGCAAAATGGCAAAAAATTATGGTAGCGAAAATGATCAATAGGTGACACTTCAATTGCTCATCAATTTAGAGTTAATGAGAGACCAAGAAATATTTTTCTCATTCTGGCGTGAGCGGCAACACCCAATATGTGTTGCGCTATCATTGTTTATATGTTAGCTTTTTTATGTGTGCGTGCAGAGCGACAGGAACAGACATCCAATGTGATAGTATTGGGCAGGTGACAGGTACTCTTTCTGGAGACATCAGGGGTCTATTAGACCCGAGATTTTTACAGCTCTAAACATGGAAATGCTCAGAGCTGAGCGCTTTTTGAGCCACACACTGGAGAGGACATCAGGGAACATCCGTTCACCATCCTGAGACTGTTGTGGTCCCTGGCTCCCAGGAGGAGTTGGAGAGCCTGGAAACCATGAAGTGGGGACGTCTGGAAGGGGAAGACATACCTCACGAGTCACATTAAAGTGATCAGGTGGCCTTACAGGTGCCCAGATCGCTTTCATGTAAAAGCCCTAAGCTGCCAAAACAAAAACAAAACAAGCTCACGTCTGCTACAACGCACTAGCCTGCCCACTTAAATGGACCGCTTTAGGGCCCGGAAAGAAACAGAGATTGAAGCAACACCCCACCCCCTTCTTTTACTTTGTTCTAATTCTGAACTTGCCAAATGTTGTTTTACTTTACTTAAAGAACTTCGGGCATGTATAACATTAATCATTGCAGCGGGGCTACCCCTGTGCTGCAAGGGTTAAGTGCTTGTTTTGGTCTAGGGTCTAAAATGAAAAAAATATGCTTGCCCGATCCACAGTCCCACCTGGCTGCTAGAGCAGACTCTGCAGCCTCTTCACCCCCAGGCTCCAGGGGTTCAAGGACTCCCAGGAACATTCCACAGCTAGAGTGGAGGGGAAGAGAAGTGAGCAATCATTGCCACGGGACTGAGGATCAGGTGAGTATATTTTTTTCATTTTAGACCCAAGACCAAAACGAGCACTTAACCCTTGCAGTGTGGGGGTAACTCCACTGTAAGGGTTAGTTCTGTACATGTTGTTTTTTAATATTCAATTTTCTTGTGATATTCCACATTTATTTATTTCCTTTCCGGTGGAATTCTCAAGGTGCATTCTGTTTCACCCTGGTTTCTCATTGTTCCCAGCTTTTCCTGTAAGCAAAATTTCAATAAAACAGATGTTCCACTTACTTGACTTTCTCCATAGCTGATTGGGTATTAATGAGGCCAAGGATGCACAAAGTAATGGACACCTGCACATTTTTCATGGCTAGTTCATGTCGCAGAGACCAAAAGAATCCGTCCAATGCAAACTTTGTCGCACCATATGATGTGGTAAATGGGGTTGCAATTTTACCTGGATGATCAAAGTAACATATTAGAACAGACTCTCATGCTAGATTAATTTATGTATTTATTATTCTTGTATGCACTAATACTTTTCAGCAAAAGTGAATTATCCTTTAAAGCCGATATGTGGGTTAAGAAATATCGTCTACGTACAAGTGGTATATGCATTGTCAATTCAATCTTGGTGTCATTTGTATATCTCTTCCAGATCTAGCATGAAACAGCTCCTGCACTTTTCCTCTGTGCAGGAACTTCCTATAATAAAGACCGGTCACTGCTGCCCGCTCTCCTTGTACATGGTGATTGGTCTTGTATCCACCCCTCCTGTAGTTTTCTGCAGGCAGCCTGTAGTGGGTGGGCCAGCTGACTCCAACCCATGGCTCTCTAGGCTATAAACAGAACAGTGATCATGTCACTGCTACATTTACATGTACATTTAATACCTAGGATTCCATTAACATTTAGGCCGGGATCACACCTAGGCAGCATCGTTTTTGCATGTTCGTACGTGCGTGCTCAGCATGTGGTTATTTGAGCGTTTATGCGCATTTTGCCGTGTGTTTACACATGCATACATGAAGACGCGTGTTTTGAATGGCAGCTTAAGAAACATGCGGGCAATGGACGAACATGCGCACAAATGCACATAAATGTGCACAAAAATGTACAATATGCGTCTGACGCGCGTTTCCATTGAAGTCTAAGAAGCAAAAATGCTCTGTTAACTCCCTACCCTATGCTCTGTTAGCTCATGTACCTTTTCGGGCATTTGGTCGGTTTCCTGCTGGCATTTTGCTGCTCAGGTGTGAACAGGGGCCATTGAAAATCATACCCTGTTCTTATTCATTGTATAGGTCTGTCATGTGCCCAGACTTTACAAGCATGTTAATGTTTTTTGTTTTTTTTACTAATGTGAAATTGCACCCTAATTCTTTCTGCTCCAGTTTTGATAAATTCCCCCCATTGTATGGCACTGTATCTGGACCTCACCCATATTTTTCATCTGCCATAATTGATTTTTCAAAAAAATTACCTGTAAGAGAGGATAGAACAACAACGGAACCTTTTGATTCTGTCAAGTGGGGGAGAGCCATGGTGGCAAGATGGACGTAGCTGAGGAAGTTCACCTGTAAGCACAATGAAGAGTTATATGCTGCAATTGAGGTGACTGCCAATGATTGGTTCAATCGATAAGTGGCATAAGATTACCATTGCCTAGGTAGATTAGCCTGAAATAGTAGAACAAATTTTCGTTATTAGATAGGAGTATATTCTGAATGAAATGTCAAGGGTTAGTGTAGAAAAAGCAACACACACCTCCATTAGCCACCTTATGTAATTGATATTTCCGTCCCACATTTCAAATGGGCTTGTACCAATGTGATTTAACACCAGATAGTCCAAACCTCCTGCCAAAATACAAACAGTAACTGTTAAAAGATTTTTATTCTTTTTCAAAAGACAACATTCATAAAAACAAGGCCGCATTCACACATTAACACATTTTAGCAACGCACGGTAATGTATGGGCATATGTTAATTGGGGTTCCTTGCCATTCATATTTAATGGTACCCCAACACACAGTTGAAGTCAGAACACACTTCTGTTATAGCACACGACAATCCACAGTTGCATGATGTGGTGTATTGGGTTTGCTAAAATAGTGAAGATGTGTTTTTTCATGTGCTGAGGTACTGAGAAATTATGCAATGATGAAAAAATGAATGGGCTGCCGAAATGCAATGCACATTGCAGTGCAAAAAAACATGCAATAATGCATGTGCGTCAACGCCCCACACCAGGCAAGTAGGCAATGATAACCAGGAAAAACACCAACAAGCACTGATGTTTTATTGATAATTAGGGCACAGTCAGATAAACATTACGTTTTGCCTTGAACTCACAGGGTTATTCACTAAAGGGTGAAGAGTTTGGAGAAGGCAAAGAGGGGACCCCATGGGTTTTTTTCAATTGTAAAAAAAATTGACTCCAGGTGCCAATGACATTATTATTATTACTATAATACAGGATTTATATAGCGCCAACAGTTTGCACATCGCTTTACAAAATGGAGAGAGACAGTACAGCTACAATGCTATTTCAATACAGGAGGATTAGGGGGGCCCTGCTCATGAGAGCTTACAATCTATCAGGGCACAGCCTTCCCCCAATTCCAAATTGAAGATTCCAAATCCCCCAAAAGTGTGCTCCTGCGCAGTATACAGCATGTTAAATGACATTAACAGGGGTCTGTGGTAAATATCTTTTTATTTTTATTGTTAATTTTTTTTTTAAGTATTCAGCAATTTTACATGTGGGAGGCTAGCAGATAATTAACTTAAGCAGAGAGTAATTACCTTTTGTACAAGGTCCACTTTACAAAAATACATAAGTAGTAACCATTGCCCAAGTAGACTAAACCACCTCCATACATGTAGACTAAGCGGATACTAGTGGCTTATAGTGTATATTTTTAATAGGCTCTATTATGTTTAGGTCTGATGTGGGAATATGCACTACAGCCATGGATTTATTACAGAGATTCTTTATATATTTTTTTAGTTGAAGTATTACTTTGACAGAACTCTGAGCACAGTGCAGTAGAGGCTAAAGGTTATGTATGTTATGTGCCAGCACAAGAAAGGTTGTCCAAATATCTCTAGGAGATTGGCAGAATTCTTTTTTTGGCCTTTTTGCATGTGCATTTTTTCATTGTAAGATAATAAAACCAATAAACGCAAAAGGGTTGCACATTACAGGTACATGGAAGCACATTTTCGTGAAAAAAGCTCAAAATGCATGTAAAGTGTTTTTTGCATAGTAATTAGCTTTGCATTGGCTAAAAAATAAAATGCCCAAGCCTGAAACACTTGCAAAAATGCCTGTACAAACACTCACAAAAACGCCCAAAAAAACACACAAAGATGCCCAGCTCAAGTGTGAATGGGGCCTAAGCGATTTTAGAATAAACACACATATATCTGGAAGGTTCTAGTCTTCAGGTGAGTCAGTATCATAGCATAACCTACAGTATGATGACAGTAGAACATTCCTAGTACCTCTGTAAAAGGTGATTGAAAAACACAAGTCAGGGAATGAATACAAGAACATTTTCAAGTCACTAAATATACCTTGGACTACAGTTTAAATCAGTATGAAGAAAGAGTATGAAAATCTGCCAAGAACAAATGTAAACCAAAAGTGAGGGACCATGCAAGAAGAAGACTAGGGAGGGAGGCCACCAAAAAACGTATAGCCAGTCTGATGGAGTTACAGGCCTTGCAACTTGAGAGACTATGCATACAACATAAGTTGTTGCCTGGATGCACTGTTTGCAGCCTTATGGGAGAGTGGCACAACAAATCCACTGCTAACTAACAAGGCATCTCACGTACAGTCTGCCAGAAAGTACTTGGGGACTCTGAAACTAACTTATAGAAGATGATATGGTCTGAAAAGACCAAAATTACGTTTTTTGGCCATCAGACTAAACTCTTATGATCTGGTATAGGCCAATCACTGCATGTCTTCATTAACAACATATTTCCACTATGAAGCATGGTGATAGCACAGGGGCGCCCACAATTTTTCGTCTGGAGATCTACTTTTCAAATGACGAGCTCAATGAGATCTACCAACAAAAAAACACCTGCATTCAGGGGCGGGAGTGCGTGGCGTTGCATTGAAATCAATGGCACCGCAGGCCAGCCCCTCGCCCACAGTGCGATCGCCTGCACCCGGAACCCAGGCACATTAGTGCCCGCGTTCCAGTCAAGTGCGATCCGCAAAAATGCTGTGAGCACTATTTTTGATAGGGGTCTAAGCCCTATAGTACTATGTGTCCCCCAGTTATTTACAAACATTGGAGTGATCAGCTAATCGCTCCAGTGTTTGTCCTGCACAGGGGATTGGTACATATCACTGATATGTACCGATCCTCTACCGCTTGGCCATGCACGGGGGCACAGCTTCCCCCATGGATTCCCCCCTGCTCTCCCGGGCAGAGGCAGCAGGGGATCCGACACAAAGCACTTCAGCCACTCCAGCGGAGCTGCTGTCACAGAACTAAGGCCGAGCGGTGAGGGGAGAGAGAGGCGCCGACTGTCAGATCCTGACCGAGCGTCTCTCTCTCTCCTCACCACTCGGCATTAGTTCTCTGACGGCGGCTCTGTCCTCCCCCGCCGCCGGTTCCTTCACTTCTTCTCGGATCCCCGCTGCATACAGATGGGGAGAGCAGCGGTGATCCAGAGAAGCCCCATAGGCCGGAGGAGAGGACATTGCGATCTACCAGTGATCGCTAGGCGATCGACCTTATGGGCACCCCTGTGATAGCATCATCATGCTGTGGGGATGCTTCCTCATGAGCCATAGGCCTGTGAGGGTAGAGCATAACTGTACCAAAAGAAATGAAGTTCCCAACAGGACAGGATAACTGCTAAAGACTCAGGGGAACCTTATGCTCAGGCCAAGACAAGAATAGCCACCAAAGGGTCCACACCAGCAGAAACTGTGAGGTAAAGCAACCTCCAACAACAAGAATGGTCAACAAAGGGAACACTAGGAGGCTTCATATCCTCAAAACTAGAGGTGCAACGAAATGAAAATTTCAAAACCGAAACGAAACCGAAATGAAAAAAAATGTCAGGCCGAAGATGAAACCGAAAATGTTTTATATTCTAACTTTTTCAAATTTTTAAAAAATATTTTATTTTTATTAATTTTTATAAACTTAAATTTTTTTATATTTAGTGACAGCTAGCTCCACTTAACTGTTTTCTATTGGCCGGCAGTTCTGCTGAAGTCAAGAAAAAGAAAAAAACTAAAAACTCTCCCAGGCGCTTTGGGAGTCTCCTGCTCCCGGCCGCCAAGGAGAGAAACACTGCTTTTTCTTTTTTTTTCTTTATTCTGACACGGAGCCGTGTCAGAATAGAAAAAAAATAATTTTGTCTATAGGAATGCATTGCTAGATTCCTATTGGCTATTTCAATTTGCAATAGCCAATAGCAAACTAGCTATTGTACCCACCCTCTGCTGCTGTCAATCAGTAGTGGCAGACCTGATGGAGAACTGCAGCAGAGGGCGGGTACAATAGCTAGTTTGCTATTGGCTATTGCAAATTGAAATAGCCAATAGGAATCTAGCAATGCATTTCTATGGCCCAAAATTATTTTTTTTATTTTCTATTCTGACACGGCTCCGTGTCAGAATAAAGAAAAAAAAAGAAAAAGCAGTGTTTCTCTCCTTGGCGGCCGGGAGACTCATAACTTGTGGACATAGTATTTTTACCATGTCCACAATCATGAATGAACAGGAAGTGATGTAGATCACTTCCCATTCATTCATAATTGAGGACACAGTAAACATACTATGTCCTCAATTATTTACAAACACTCAGCGATCACTGATCGTTTGTACCCACTCTCCACCCTGACACACTGTCACAGGAGGCTGGGCGAGGTTTTGTGGGAGAAGAACTCAGCCTCCTGTGACAGCGATGGCTGTCTCTGCCCACAACGCCGCTCTCCTGATCTGTGACAGGAGGCTGAACGGGGAGGAGAGACGCCGGCCACTCACAGCACTCTCCTCACCCGCACAGCTCAGCCTCCTGTGACAGTTTCTCTCCTCCTGGGACACAGAGCAGCGGCCAGTGAGAAGGAGAGAAATTGCAGATGCACCGCTATTTCGGGCAAAAAATTGCACTTTCGGCATTTTGCTAAAAGTGCCATTTTCGGCCGATATATTTCGGTGGCCGATATATCGGTGCATCCCTACTCAAAACAGCCAAAATTGGATAACAGGTTCACAAGGTAAGATCAACCAGTCATAGGATTATAAAAGTCCTAAGCCTTAAACGTTCGACCCTAGGTATCAGGGAAGAAAGCTCCAAAAAGGAGTAAGGATGTCCTGGACAGCCATCCAATCTCGTAAGAGATAATCAAGATAGAGAACCATCAAGCATAAAATCCCAAGGGGATAGGAGCTGGTGACAACCTCAATGAAACCAGAGAGACTGACCAACAAAGGGGAAAAAAGGGGTGCAAGAAGTATGCCCCTTAAAACTAGAGAGAAGTGGAAGACAACCACTTCATAATGGTGGAGCAACACTAAAAAACAGCAGGATGAGTAGAATCATCCACCCGGCGGTGACTCTAGAACCGGACAGGAAAAACCTCCTACAGGGCCAGTTAATTTGATTCAGGACATGGGAATACATGTCCCCTGATTTGCCTTGATCAAGTGAAGTGCCCACAGCCATGGAGCGAGGGGTAGGGGAAAAACATGTGACGCATGATCACCTGATTAAGGAAAGGAGCAGGTCATTTTGAGAAACTTCTAATACAGGCTTGCCATAGTTGGAGTGGCTTACTAGAAAATATCTGGACCCATGAAGACCCCTGGATGCATACCATCTCCCACTGAGAGTGTCTGCAGCATGGTAGAAACATGAGCTGTCTGCTCACCACCTAAGGAAAGAAAAAACACTCTGAAAACCCTAAGGGTAGTGTGGGCTGAAGTCACCCATAGTAGTGAGACTATCCTCAGTGTGTCTTTGAGAAGACATGTTGTCAGAGACCACTTAATGCTTTAGAAGCAGGAGCAGCAGTGAGATGGTACTTTCTCTAGGCCGAATGGTGGAATGTGGAGGTAAGGCGCAGCACTCCACCTATCAGACGACATCAGCGCTCTTTCCCTCAGTCTTGAGCAAAGAAGATGGCTAACCATAGCACAATAACTGTAAGGTAGCTCCTAGTGCTTCAGCCCAACAAGCCTTACTCAGTATGTGAGCCTTCAGAGACAGGGGTCCCACCCAAAGTCTGTGCCATGGTCCTTGACCTGGAAAGTGATCTGCAGTTAACACAGTACATGAAGGTCTGGAAAGTGTTGTAAAGAAGTGCCCAGTGCTGGAAGGTGACTTTCCAATCTAGTCTCACAATCTCCAGTCCAGTGAGGTCTGTGTATGGCATCCAAGGCTGTTGCTGAATGTAGGCTTATCCGAATAGCTGCTGTGTAGAAACTAGCTACAGCACGGTATCTTAACTGAACTGAAAAATTAGGTTAAAAAGGCAGAGCAAAGCTAAGGAAAAGGCATCCAACCGTCTAGGATATTCTGTTTTCCAGTGTCCCAACTCCCATAGATGGTAGCATATAACCCAGATGTCTAGGAATTACTACATTCCTGTGTCCCTCAATGAACGATAAAGAAAAAACCTTGAAGGATTGCTGCCTGATTATTTAACCTTAGAGCAACTTTAGAATCTGTATATATTTAAGCAGCAAGACACACACGCATGATCTGACTGCCATAATATCTACTATATTTTATATCGCTGCCATGCAATGTTCCTTTGAAAAATCTCTGACAATCTTAATTAGTCTAATCAAAAGCAAACAAACATCAGTTCACCGAGTTTACTGAAGGCAAATGGCCAATGGATAATTTCTGTAAGTAATAACTCTAAAGCAGAGATACCAGATAAAGAAAACTTATCAGTGACAAGGTTCATTTTATTCAAGGGCTGAAATAGGGTTGTTCCTTTTAGATCAAAGAAGGACATTTAAAAATGATTTCATGAAGCAGTTGTTCAAATAAAGTTTGAAAGAAACCTCTTTACAATGAACTGCTATTTCCTTTGCTCAGAGAAATACTCTATGTAAGGTGGCATTGCTAGGTTCCTTTAGAAAAGGCTTGTTGCTTTGCTGTCATACCAATCCAATGACTTTCCCATAAAAAGAATACAGCAAGTGAAGTTAGAACTCCTTCTCACCATATTTATTTCAGGTTGGTAATTCAGAAAGCAATCAAGCCAATGGATACGCATGCCAGCCAGAAAACAAGAATTTTCAGAAGCCAACAATGGCCGCCTATTTGCTTCTTTCACCATGGGCTACATATTTGTTCAATGCTGGAAAATGCAATTAAACTTAATCAGTTTGTCTATCTACACTGTAGTTCACACATTTCTAAGCATGTAATATTGTAGTTGGGTCTTGAAATTTGGACACATTAAATATTAATTTCAATAATTTCAATGAAAGACTTGCTAGAGGTCTACAAAAACATATAACCCGTGGGTCTACAGCATGAATAGGTACATCTATATGAACAGAGTAGGCAGAACTCCATTGCAGGCTGTGGAAATATAACTGCAAAATGGACAGAAAAGCTGGAAGAGATACATTTAGCAAAGCATGGTAAACACACAATTTTCATCCATTTATTTGAAAGCATTGTATTTAGCCTTGGCTGAAACATCACAGCATTATCACAACTGTCAGAACAATATGTGAATGTCTGTAATGGTAACAAACTTCAATGTGAAATGCAGTCATCTGAGGCTCCTATGGGATGCCTATTGTCACTTAAAGCCTTCCATCATTGGAAAGAAATCGAAAATGTTCTGAATTTTTAGAGCATTTGAGTTCCTACACCAATCATTTCTCTCACCCATGGCAGTTATAGCTTGTTCCATCACTTTTTCACGAGCTTCTGATGAGGCCATGTCAGCAGGGGCCAGCGACACACTCTTTGCTCCAAGCTTCAGGCACTTGGTTTTCACCTGCATTCAAGAGAAGGTTCAGAGAGTTCATTACCCGAGCCAGCATGAAACAATCCACAGCAAGGCTAACTCCGCTACTTCTGCAAAATATGCCCTATATTCACTAAATTAATATTTTACTAGTTCACAGCTTTCAATTATTTTTAACTTTGATGAAAAATCCATATTGCTGGACTGCTAAATAGGTGGAACATATAAGAACAGAAATTATTTGTTATAAATATTGGCATGGTTAGATAGGCTGGGCCTGGATTTGGCAGTGATCAAAGCAGACAAATGACTACCACCTATATTGCCAGTGGTCTCCCTGCTGCTGATATTTTTCCCATTGCTGATTTACCATGCCTTGTTCTGCACTGTGTGGAGGCAGCCATTTTGGTAGAGGCAGCATTTTGCTTTCTCATGCCAGAGCCTCCAGCAAAGAGAACAATAAGTAGCACAGTAGTGACATCAGTAAATCTCACTCATAAAATTGTAAAACTAGCAGTCAGAGGCAGCCTGAGATCTCACACTACAGATATACAGCTATGACACTGTATGTACAGCAGTGCCTTGGCACCCTCATATACCAGAAAGTGCACTGTTAGTTTTCAGGAGGAATTTAAGACAAAAGGAAGATTTTTCAGTGTGCTGATCGGGCACAGAGAACATCTCTGGATGTCCCCTATAACATAGCAAATCTTCACTTTCTAAATTGAAGTCCACTTTAAAGATGATTGTATATAGGATTTGAAAATGTTGAAAGGTATATAAAACTCTATCATCCACTAGTGGTTGCTCAAGGCTACAAATTAGAAGATTTGTGGCTTAGATGTAGTAGAGGTTCAATGGATAGCAGAATAGTCTTGCATCAGCTCTTTACTAACTGTGCAAGCCTTACAACCTAACTAACCTTGGGGTCCAGCTTCAAGATCAGTCAGCTTCAGCTTATCTGATGTCCTCCTACCATGGTCATTCTTACTGCATGTGGTGGGTGACCATCGTGGAGCTGCATACTATCAATTTTAGTATAGGAATCTGAGAAAAAAAACAAGTATGTCCAATGCAATGTGGGATTTACAACATTGTCTAGTATGAATCTTTCATCCGCCATAATTATTTTATATGGGGAATTTTTTAAAATGTAAATTTAATGTAAATTTACTTTGAATTTCTATTTAAACCATGGCTGAGCTGATGTATCATAGGAAAAAGATTCTGTGCATCTAAAATGACTCATCCCATGTCATTCTTAAAAGGGTATTCTAACAGAAAGATTGATAGACTCAAAGATGTTTGCTAACATAGGAAATGCAAGCCTTTTAACACATTTTCATTCTTGAGGAAACCTGTACTGAGAAAAATACAGCAGTTGTTGACCTCCTGTAAAAAGTGACAGTTGCCCAAAATGCTCAAGTTGCCAAAAAGAGCTCACAATTTTATTTCCCTACCACACATACACACTAATAGCAGTTTGAGGGGAAGCCAATTAGCACCTTGAGAAACACCAGTAATAACTTGCAATACCGCATACAGAAAGCATGCGGATCTGAACCTATCATCCAGGGTTGCCTTACAAAAAAAATACTACCGTAAATGGAAAAAAAAAAGAGAGGAAACAAATTAAATGTGAAAAATAGTATAGAGCATAGATCTATTATTAGGAAGGAGAAATGCTGTGACTTCACAAAAACTAAACCAACAAGTGGAACATGAATGAAGATAAGAAATCATTGTAACACTAGTCTGGGTTAAAATACCAGGTTTAGAGGAATAAAGAACATGGATGAAAGGATGAACGTGGCATGAAAGGATTTCAAGAGTCATGAGGAACACTTTACTCAGTCTACAAAGCATGTAATTTAAACTCAATTAGCATTGCCCTTGCTACAAACAAATCTTTATTCAGTGTGACATATCAATGATCATGCAGCTATGGAAAAGAGGAAATCAGGCTGAAACTGGATCCCAACTACATATTTACTTCTGTGGCAAAACTGTGCCAAGAAAATGTACATGCTGACTTTTCTGAATATTCTTTTTTTTCCTCTTTACAATTTGTCCCATTCAGCACCACGGAGCTATTGCATCTCCATTAAGGCTGGGTTCACACTTAAGCAACGTTTGTGGGCGTTTCTACACATGTTTTTGATAATACATTTTTGATAAATCAGGTTGCGTGTTTTATGAGCATGTTGTAGCTCATTAGTATTAATTTGCAGACGCGCGTAAAACGCACGCAGAAATGTGCTATGGTCATTAGACCATAGACTATAGCAATAGCATGCAGTGCCCAGCTGAAGCTAATAAAGCCAGTATTATACCGATGTTACCTCGGTTCATGAACACTTCTGTTTGCGAACAATTCGGTTCGCAAACAGGAAGTTTGGCAAAATTTTGCTTCAGTTTGTGAACTCCGCATCGGGTGATGAACACAACCGCAGCAATCTTCCCTGCTCTGACACATGGTCGTGGCTTCCTCTAGTCAAGATCGCAATCTGATCACAGTTTGATTCGGTTCGGGACTAATTCGGTTCGGGACCAGAATCGTGAAATGAATTACGTTTGTGAACCAAGGTATCACGGTATTATCTTGCATTAAAAGAGGGCTTTATTCACGGGATTACAAAACACTGGTAAGGCCCCATCATGAGAACGTGTTTCAACTCTGGTCACCAATTCCTAGGTGGGATGTCCATGAGCTACAAAAAATTAATGGATGGGCAACCAAATTAATAAAGGGGATGGAAGGTCTGAGTTATCAAAAACGCCTACAAAATGTGGAATTCACTTCCACAGATACCTGTATCAGGGGGAAACATAAACTGCTTAAAAAAACACTTGGATGAGTTCCTCAGTTCACAAAACATACAGGATTAAGATGTCTCATGCTTATACTTTCAGTAAAAGAGAAATATAAGCAGTATTTTCTAATTGTGGAAAATTGCAGCAAGGTATAGCTGCATCCATTTTTGCAATGTCTACCTACCTTTTAAAGATATTTTGCAGAAGGTACAAAAGGCTTCCCTGCCCTGCCATGACATCTTGCCAAAGTACAGGAAATGTCATTTGTTCCTCCTTTTATTAGGCATATTAGCTCATACATCTGTTCAATTGACATTTGCTGATTTCTTACAGTACCTAACATTCATCTTGCAGCATTTAAATGCATCCAGCAATCAGCAAATTGTCAATGAGTATTGACTGTTAGGTGCACTATAAAGTACAATTACCTTCAGTGACACATATAAATACTGCGCCCAAGAGTAAAAACAGATTAGAATGAGGGAAGTGACAAATGTCAGTATAAGCTATGATCATGATGACATTAAAAAAGGGAAAGCTGTACAGCATCCATTTTTGACTAATACCATTATTGCAGCAGTGCACAGGGTAAGGAAAAACCTCAGGCAGATATATGAAAAATCATCAATAAATGCATTAATGTATTCATTAAAAATAATTAAATGTTTTCTTAAATGCAACCAGTGTAAGTATCTGAATCTGCCTTGATTTTATCCTTTTATAACGCTCTTTAAAGCTGAATTCAGATGGAGAGAAGAAGGGGCAGCACTAGGAGACAATCGGGTATGCTGCATGTATATGGGAGACAAACAGCATGGTAATAAGTGAAAATGGGATGAACTCATCGGCCTGCTTCTGCACCTCCATTGTCCATTCACTGGCTGGGGGCAACCAGGTGACCTTGCTAATTCAGTTAATTGCAGCAAAGAAACGTCAGGTCACCAAATTCCAATCTGAAAGGGCTGAGTAAATCTTAGTATTGACTGGACTGAAATATAAATCCAAACAGATGATAATTGGAAAAGTCCTACTTCGCTTCATGCCTTATTACAGAAGACAGTAATGGGATCTCTAACTCATCCACCCACCTTCACTTTCCTATAGCAATTTGACTGTGGTTTGACAACCCTGGAAGGTTGTGCCAGACCCTAAGGGCCCATTCACACCACCTCCAGACCAAATTGTTTCCAGACCCAAAATGCATCCTAATGTATCCCTATGCTATTTCTGGCCTCTGTTCACCCCAGCGCAGTCCGCTCCAGACCAGAAAAATACTGCATGTCTCATTTTGTCTGGTCTGGAATGCACTGGAACTGCGGGTAGGTTCACACCATTTTCCGGACCAGATCTGGTCTGGAAAATGGTGTGAACCTGCCCTAAAGACAAACTGAATACATGGAAGAAATGAATGTTCCTGAATACACGGAAAACCCAAACACTAACAGGGTTATTCACAAAAGGGTGGAGAGTTTGGAGAAGGCAGGAGAAGTGATCAATATAGGACAACATAGCTGAACTGGATAGTGAGCTGAATTGGAGAATGTTTTCAAATCAGTTATGTTGTCCTAGATTGTTCACTTCTCCTGCCTTCTCAAACCCTTCATCCTTTTGTGAATAACCCTATAAAACTTTCTGAAAAGTACCTCTACCCTTTGCTACTCACTAATAAATAATATTACTATAATACAATTGCATACTGTCTATTGTCTGTCTGTATTGGTGCCTGCCTGACTGACTACATCCTCAATGCCAGAGTGAGAAATGATGATGCATTTCCCATACAAACGCTATCCATAACTCCAGTCCAGCATAAAGCAGTGAACAGCCAAAGACACAGTACCAGGTTCCTCACTGTTACTGCAGTTATGTGGCACGACTTAGTGCTTCCAAAAACCCAGATATCTGTATGAGCCTCATAGCACAGTTCGATGGGTCATCGTACACCCGTGTAAATGGTGTACATTGGCACTTGTCAGGAATCTAGGTGGCACTCATTTTGACAGTCATATATACTACCTGGCCATAAAAAAGGTCACCGCCTGGATTTAGCTAAGCAAATAGGTCAGAGCCTTCCACTGGATAATTAGTCTAGGTTCAGCAACATTATGTGCCCAAAAAGTAAGGTCAGTTGCCTACCTGAATATACTGAATGACCAGGTTTTTCAATCCATTAAAGGCATTTTTTCTTCCCTAATGATACATGCATATTCCATAAT